CATAATTTTCAGCATATGAAAGCAAATGTCAAAACATAATTCTGAATACATATTTTTCTTTTTGGTATAATATGAATAAAATATACTTATCTATTTTTTTTTTTTTTGTAGGAATATTTGATTATTAAGCTTTTAGTTTTATAAGAACATACAAATATGATTACGGTGAATAGTCCAAATATCCATGTCAGAGACGTATAGTTCAAGAGCGATCTATACGTTATCAAACGCTAATTGGAATAATATTATGATTGCGCATACATTATAAAAAAAAGTGTTATTGTTTTTACAAGGGTATTATTCACTCATCTGACCATTTTTTAATATTTGCATTTCAATATTATGTAATAATTGATACATAAATGTAATTAATCCAATTGCCTAAATATAATAAACGGAATAGTGGTATTCGGATATGATACATTTTTTTATTTTTAATGAGCATTTTATTTCAAAAACGCAAAGTTACGTGTTGTGCAATAATAATTTATGCTGAATAAATTGTAGACATTACATTTTAAATAATAAAAATAAAGTAATATTAGTATGGGTGAATTTAAAACCTATTGTTCACAAATACAATTTTTACTTTTATTTAAAACTTGATTTGATAAAATTATCGATCACATTCGTTGAGATTAAGTTTAGTAACTTTTAAGTTTTTTATGTTCAAATACATTGTTGTACGGAAACATTTTTGTATTTTTTCTTTTCAAAGCTTTCGTAAAAATGTATTTCTTCCTAAAAAAATTGATAAAATAATGAAAAATTTAATTAATGAATTAAAGAAGTCTCTAAATTATTTAAAGACTCATTAGGGAGCAACATTTCCTAAACTAAGTTTGTGTATACCTACGTATTATTATGTAATGTTTATTATAACTAACTATTAATATCTAGTTAATTTATTAATATTATAGTTTTAGCATATTCTTGTACTTAAATACATAGAATATAACTTTTACTCGTATAACGGCAGTAAATTTTTAGGTGTCCAATCTTGTCGTTTTGTACCCGGTCTGAAGTACATACGTCGTGTAATATAAATATACGTACAGAGTATAATATTCTTATTATTCGACTTGTTTTTACTCGTTAATTTTATACTATTAAATATTTTAATTAAAGTATACGTCATCTTCTGGTGATAATATATATACAACGCGAAATTCAAGGTTTCTGTTGTACCAATATACAGATCCGTTTGCGCACGACATAATGACGTAGGCAAGCCCAAAAAACTCGTTTTATCCTCAAGAAATATAAATACATCTGGTATATAAATCTTATACATACATATATTCACGTTTTGCATGTATAGGTATACAAAATCACGTATATAAATTATATTAAAATACGTAAGCATTTGCTTGTTTACTTGTATACGTGTGTAACGAAATGAGATGCAAATTAAACTTGTACTAATAAAAAAATTGTGTTCATGTTTATAATCCGTTAACACATAGAACAGTAAGTTAGTTCATAGAAAATACGGTTTTATAAAACAAAACTTTCAATAGGAAAATGTCTAATATAGAATGAGTTTGGAAGATGTTGAATAATAATAGCATGTAATAGTAGAAGAAATTGTTGGGAAATGGTATACATTTTAAACAAAAATACACTATTTCCCGAAAGTATAATTATAAATTTTCTAAATAATTTTTTTTTTCACATTTATTTTTTGTGTTTAAAAAAATGAAGTACTTAACAATAAACTTTGCTAAACTAATCATAATTTATTCCTGTCATTAATTATTTAAAAGTTTATCAGAAAATTAAAATTTATAATGATAATTATTATTTTAATAACACCTAATAATAATAATAATAATAGCACAACAACAACAATAATAATATTTGTATTAATATTGTTATTAATTTAATTTTAGTACATAAGCACCATCAAAATATAATAAAAAAATCAAATATTATATTGTGTGGTAAGAATTTCAACAATGTTCAGGTTATTTTGAAACTGTTTATAAAACGTTACTGATTACATAATCAGATTACATAATGAAATATAAAACATCATAAACATGTAAATATGATACAGAAAATATTCTCAGTTCAAAATATCCGGATTTATTGTTAATAGAAAAAGTATTAGGGTGCCATTTTGTCGTTTCACTTGGGGTATCAACACCCGTGGTGTCGGCCCTGCACCAAGTAGGTTACCTCCTACTTACATGCACCCTCCTTGAATACATTTTACCTGCAGACAAACCAAACTGTTGAATGTCTGTATAAATCCACTGCTTAGCACTGTAAATGTAATTCATTTCTTAACTACTCAATTACAATCGTTAAATATATTTCTCGAGCATCAAAATTTCTACATCCTAAGAGGTATAATTATTTTCACCGTCCGAGACGATTAAGATCAAATTCGAGTATGGTTTTCGATTTTATAAAAATATCTATTGATCGGAATATTTTATAGCGTTTTCCAAATAATCACGTTACGTAAATAAATATACACATTTTTCGTTGCCTTCGAACGTACAATTTTTCCAACAACATAAATTAATTCACTACGTTTCACGCGAAAAACACTCGATGCATTTACCGTTATCTTTGATTACTGGGCGAGATATTACTTTCAAACGCAATGGGACCGCGTCATGAGTACTGTTGAGGTATATGACCGCTTAGCGGTGAACTTTGGCATTGACCAATAGTTTTTGGTGAATGTTGTCTATTCTTACAAACACTTCGCAGTTTTGACATTTACCGGTGTTTGGTGAACGTTGACGTGCTAATAAAAATCATAAAATCACAATTGCTTTGCTATTAATAATCAATTAGGGATTCTAATATACAATAATTAAATCATAGATACATACATGTATTTTTAATTTTTATTGTTTCCATAAGGGCCGTCGTTAGTGGGTAGGTATTTGTTAATTTAGAATAATTTGATATTTTTAGGTGTAAGGGATTTTACTTCTTTTGCCTGAGCTCTAAAAGCTTGCGACGGCACTGGCTTTCATATTACGATTTTTCAACAGCATAATGATACGTTTGTACAATTATGCTATACTATGCTATATTCACAACAAAGGGATTTACGTATATTGAACGTTTGAATTTATTTGATACAAGATTACAAAGTAACATAATTCACGGGAAAATATTGTGATACTTACTGTTGCCAGAGTATCCCTCATTCTTACGATTGCATTTTTGTGAATTAGCATATCTGCCAAGTCTACTTGACACGAATAGTTCGGTTTATGACTAAGCAATTTGATTGATTACAAAAATTTCGAGGCACGTATAATCAAAAATAACATTAAAATTGTATACGTAATAAATTTAAACTTTTTGCTGTAATTCACTCATCGTTTTAGTTCGACCTCCATGCTCAGCTTTAATATGAGCTCCTTCATTTTTTACATAATAAATTATTTAAATTTCACTTGAATTTAATGGTACTATTAGCTTATGATTCTATCCATAATAATAATAACGTCAAACCGGTTTAAACTTTTATGTTATGATTATATGTTTGTCTGAATCAAAATTAAATGTATCACTATTAGAACAACGTTAAAAATATCGTCGAACTAGGTGTAGTATGAGTGTCGATATGAATCCAGAAATGATTTTTTTAAAAATCATGTTTTTACATACCGAATATGTAATCTCGTACAATAACATTAATGATATCCGAACGATAATAATTCTCAAACACAGGTTGAAAGTTTCGAAATATTTATGCCAAACGTGACACGAGTCAAAAAGTGAAAAGTGCAAACGAATAAACTGCTCCGTTTCTATATAACTATGATTTTGACTAAAATTTTACCATAAAATATGATAGTTTATCATCTTTAAAAAATATTATGCGCCATGAATTTATTATGATAACCAGATCATTTTTAAGGAAACGGAGCATTTTTTTTATGTAAAACATCCATATTGTATGATAATATCCGGTATGAAGTTAGGTTTTTTTTATAAAAAATGTATTACTATACTTTTTAGTTAAATAAAATACCTAAAAATAAAACCGTTACTCAGATAATTTCATTAAGATCTAGTACAAATCTTACACACCAATAAACAAAAAAAAAAAAAAAAACATTAAAATAAATTCTATTGTAATTTATTCTATAGTTTCATAATAAAATATTACACATAAAATAAGTTTTATCCACTCCAAAAATCTATCCAAAACTTGTCTTCATATAATTTAGAAAATATTATTTCACTAATAATGGATATGTTAAGATGTATACGATTGCAGTGGGTGAATTTCGATAGTCATCAATAGGGAACGGATTTATATGCAGATACATATATGTATTGAATTCAGTTTTATGATATCTGATGATTTGATCCTTGCACATTTATCGTCATTAAAGCGTTTATAGAAATTACAACTATAAGATTTTTATATGATTGTCTTAACGAAGTATTTTGTAATTTTTGTTGGGGAGTTAATTGATTATGGATTTTAAATTAATTAATTATTTTTGTCTTATTCCTTTCCCCGTATGTCACTCTTGCCTAGTTATTAAATACAAAACAATTTAGTCAAATTTATTTTCAAAGGATTATCAATAATCACACTGAAATTACGAAAGAATATTAGCAATTGGTAATAAAAACATTTATTCACGACCGATAAATATTTTTTATATGACAATTTCCGAAGAGATGAAAGCACCCGGTTCCGCTGTAAATACAGCACAACACGTTCTGACTTAAGCATAACATTAAAACGATGTTTCAGTCTCTGTGTATATCGACTACCTATAGGATACTAATGTTAGTATTTTTATATATTCGGTTACACTGTTTTTATAGTTTTTTCATTTGTTCGTACCGCTCTGCGATAAATATTGATTGAACTCTCACTATATTTCGTATCCATTGTAGTCATCCTTAATAATTTAGTAAAAACAAGAAGTAAACAAGTACAAGTAGAAGTTCATTATATTTTACTTTTTACGAGGAAGTAAGTTCTCAATAATTATTACACACGTAAATGTTTCAAAAAAAAAAAAAAAAATGCGATTTATTAAAAACTTTTTAGGGAAAAAAAAAGTCTATAACTGTTTGAATATTCTATGGATGTACAGTGTTTATTACCACGGACTCACAACGAGCTGTGTTTTTAAAACAACTGTTCTCCTCTACAACAGAATATCATATCGAGCCGACCAAGGAGTACAAATTTTGATAACCTATGAGCAATAATTAATAACCGTATCCGTAACCGCCATGGTGTCCACCGTATCCACCTTGGTGGTGACCGTAACCCTTGTGGTAGCCGTAGCCGCCGTTAGAACCGTAGCCGCTTCCGTAACCACCGTTGTAACCATATCCATTTCCGTAACTACCGTAGCCACCACCACCGTATCCTGAAAAAAAAAACGATATTTAAGTTTTGAAAATACATTTGATAAGGATGGGAACCCCTATTTTAATTTCACTAACCTCCTGTGAACCCTATTCCAATTCCTGCGCTGTAGCCTCCGTAGTTACCATAACCTCCTCGGTTGTAACCACCGTATCCTCCGTATCCACCTCCATATCCACCTCCATATCCACCTCCATATCCGCCTCCATATCCGCTTCCGTAGCCAACATTATAACCTAGGCCTACGAAAGGAGCAGCAGTCGTCAAGGCTAAAGTGGCTGCCATAAATACACACTGGAAACAGAAATCATAAATTATTACATTGAACACGTTACTCTCTCGTTTCGCTTCAACGCATATTGAATATTGATGACATTTAAGTTTTAATCAAAAGAATTCAATACAAAAAATTTGAAGTATTATTTTTTAAAAATTTTATATACTGTTGGACGTGGAATAAAAGCTGTTGTGATTGAAACAAAAATCATTGCTAATTTAAAATATATTCAGTTTAATTAATTTAAGTAACTAATAAGACTCAATTTTTAACATTGTATTAATGTCGAATTATTTTACCATTTAATGCTTAAAATAAGGTATATAAAACAACGATAAAATATTTTGTCGGTTCATTTGAAATTTAAAGTTTTAAAATTTTTTATAATTCTAAAAGAATTCCGAAGATATCGTATTCTGGAGTGGGTGTCAGTTAAAAATGATTCAAAATACGATATTAAATATATTATGATTATAGGTTTGATATGTACGAGTATATGCAAGCTGTATGTTCGCTCGAAAATAAATATTTTTAATTCCAAGAAGTTTAGCTGATAAAAAAAAAAAAAAAAAAATGTTTAAGTTTTACGTGAATGTATAAAAATTACAGAAATGATTACGTTGATGGTTTAGCGAGATAGAATAAATGCAATCATCTTTAAAAAATAATATTATTTTCAATTCGACCAAACGTCCATCGAATCAAGGCGGCAATCGAAACCCTTCGGGCTGATCCGGCGTATTGTTTGCCATCTTATTTTCTACGAGTATTACCCGTTCGTTGTAACAGCGTTTACAACAAACGTACGCGCGTTAAACGTGAGACATAATATCGTCAATAACTGCACGTTAGGTAACACGGGATCGTTCGTCCGTACAATAATAATATGCGTTGCCGCCGTAAACGAAAACCGTCGACAAAACGCGAATGGACATTATCGTCTCCGACAGCGTTACGCACTCGTATCGCCGATTGTCGGACCGAGACCGCGGTTAGACTTGAACGAAATCGCGAAATTCGTTAGTATTGTTTATTGTGTTACGCGGCGTGTAATCGTGTACGTGTTTACGTTACCAGGAATAGTTTGGTGGCGATCATTTTTTCGGTTCCCTCGCGGTAGCTGGTAAAAAAAATAATCCTCGGCACTATTCCGACTGACTATTCGTTGTTTGTCTTCGGAGGATCCCCGGATACGTCTGAATCGGTATCGTCGAAAACTCGGTGTTTTATGTCGTCGCCCGCAACGCCGTTTTTATTTGAAAATGTTCGGTTACCACACATTATTTTAATTATGGAGGAACGATGTCTTCGGATGTTCCTCGGCGATTAACCTTGAAATTATTTTGTTCGCATAAGGCAGAAAACCAGTTTTCCTGGTCGTGCGGATCTGCATATGATTTTGTAGTGTTTTTTTTTTTTTTTTTTTTTTTTTTTTAAAAAATGCACATGGTTTCTGTAGTGTTTTTTTATTATTAAAAAATTAAGTACACAGCCGCGATGGCGGGTACGTTTCGCCTCCGATGAACGATAAGCGAACGTCGGTTGCGCATCCTAATAGGTTTTCGCCGGATAATTCGCACGAGATCGCCCATTACGGCGCCGCTGCGCATAAATTATGCGCACGACGTTCGCGAACCTGTAGTACGTTACGTTTGCTGCGGCTTGGTGTTTGCTCGTATGTAAATTACACGTTGCGAATTAATATCTTGTTTGGCGGAAAAACCTAAACGCACCGTTGCCGGTCGATGACACCTCATCGTGATAATGTTGAGGTCGCAAAAATAAGACAGAAACGAGACTGTTTTGTTTAATGACCATATAGAGCTGGAATCACCGTACATTCGAAAGGAAAAAAAAATCAGGAAAATCTATCGGAACTCACTTAAAAATCAACCAAACTCTCTAACCGTTCAAAGCCTAAACATGAACTTGGAGATTTTTGGACGTTGCGTAGTAAAACGATAGAATTACTCATAACGCGTAACGATAATTATGTAACAAACATGAGCGGATAAATATTTTTTACGTGGTTAAAATTTGATTTAGATGGTTGTATTACGAATAACTGTCGAAAAATTGTCTTGATATCTACAGTGAGTTCCGATAAAAAATGGTTTATAGAACCAGTCGTTTATTTGAACCGATAATAAAAAAAGAAAAACATTAACCTTTTGTTACTTATGTTAAATTAACCTATTACTAAAATCATCATGTACCGGATAATTTAATTTCTTTTATGAATATTCATATGGATTTTATCAATTGATAACTGATTAAGTTTTAAAGCGACTGTATTATAGAAATAATCTTTGTGTCTATTTATTTTTCGGCGTTCAGCTTCAGTTAACGTTGTAGATCACGTCAACGGAAAGATTTAAGATAAAGTATATAAGGTTTTCCTTATTCATTTTAATGAGCGGGAAAAATATCCTAACAAAGAAATCGCATTATACCTGAAAATTTCTTATTATACATTATACACAATTTAAAAAGTTTGAAAATAAATTGTTAAATACGAATAATACAACTAGTTTTTTTTTTCCAAAAACGAAAAGGGAATGAAGAAGAGTCAATGTATAAGATTAGTTGTTACAGTAGTTTCAACAAACTCGACAAAATCGAAAATCAAATACACCGGTCAATGATTCTATTTTGGAAAAGAAAACTTTAAACATTGTAATTCGGTGTAGATCATTTTAGTTCAACAATTGGTAGGTTAATGGTTGACTTGTTGGAAGAACACAAAAATAAATAACTATATTAAAAGATTTTTTTTATTTTAAAAACTAGATTTTGAAAATTTTAAATTTTACTCAATAGTTTAAAAAAATAAAATGCAAAATTGCCATTTTAAGTTTTTGAAATTATCGCATTAAAACAAAAAATAAAAATAAATTGGGGTCGCAATTTGAAAAAGGTTGAAAGCCACTGGTGAAAGGCTATGGATGAACATTAAAGTCAGTCAAAACACTTTTTACGTGAGCTTCATTTGACACAACCATATTTATTATTATTTTTTTTGCCATTTATTTGGAAAGTAACCTTTAAGATTAAATAAAAATAAAAAAATATATATTAATATTAATAATAAGTAAGTTTACACCTAATCATATAATATGAAATTATAATTTTGAATCATTGGTTATTTTTTAATAAAATAGTATTAAATCTAAAAAATTATCTGTTTGGTGTAATATTTATTCAACATTAGAATATGCTTTTCGTGTTAGTTCATTTCAGGAAACTTTCCAAGGTTTATTATTTAAAAAAGTAAGCAAGATTAAAATTACATTTTCTACAGTATTTATGATATTTTCATGGTTTTCCTTTCTATGTTAATAAAAAAAGAAGTTACAACTATGTCCTTAGCAAATCTAGGGAAAAATCCCAAGGGTATTGGCATACCTTTTTTCTTTTATGTATACATTATTAAAATTTTCATTTATTATATATTTATTATATTATATTATATTAAATATATTTTTATTTTTTTCTTAGAACTGGATTTTTAAAGGCCCTTCTCCTGGATCTGTCACTAATTTCAATGATGTTTTGTATAACAGTCGAAGGATAAAAATATTGAATTGCCATTTTTTATCAAAATTTTTTTAACAAAATTGATCGCATTCATTTGATCAACTAAAAATATAATTTACTGATGGGTTGCATTTATGCAGGGTACTTTTTTAAAGCCTAATACATCTTAGTAATTAAAAAAATACAGCCAAAAATTTAAAAAAAAATATGATACATTTATTAAGTTGCCTCAATATTAATATTATGAAATTGTTTGTGAATAGTTGGCTATTATAGTTAGTTGATTTTTGTTGTGGATGACGACATTTTTTTATGGCAATAATACATGTTCTTTACCATTAATTACTAGTATCACATTGGGTGCTATCGTATTTCAACTATACTGTATTGCGTTAAAACAATTTAAAAATTGAAAAATATTAATTTACATAACTCATGTTTCTTAAGTATTTTTCAATGTCTGGTGATCAATGTAATTACTCGAAAACAACTGCATGTACAACTCATATTAATAATTTTGACTGCCAACACGGAAAATCTACTGTCGAACATAAAATAGAATCGAATGTGAAATATGTTAATCATCATGGATATTTTATCTGACCACTCCTTAACGCATCCCATTAAAAACCGTCTGAAATAAACATTACTTGACCACAATGTTTTCTATTTTTGCTACAATATTTTACAGGATAATCACGTGAAGTTGATCAACTGCGATAAATTACATTGGATTGCTCGTGTGAGCTTAGTCGTATTAATGATTTGTTTGAAGAAAATGATTGATTTGTTTACAGATGACGTTTATCCATTATTGCGAGTAATAATATATTTGCATTATTTATTTCTCCTAATGATTATTTAATAAATGTATACCACTACAATCGATGCACGGCGTTTGTAGTAACTCCTATTAATTTTTTACAATTTAATCATTTAACTCTGCAAGCATAACGTTTGAGATTTCTTATGATTTAGAATTTAACAACTTTTTTTTTTTTTTTAAAAAAAAAGGAAAAGGATAAAACGCACAATTAGTTCAATGTTATTTTATTGACTGATTATTGGATTCAATCGAACGTATTTGAGTACGTCCTTCACTTTCTGTTAATTGTTATCAACTTCAAAATCTCAGTAACATAATTCATAATTCACTGATGAAATATCCAATGTTGTCCTCATGTTTACTCCAAGCAATGGCTGCATTAAGATTTTATCATCGACATAATAAACGGCTTTATTGTCGCATCTGGTCAGATGTTTCACATTGGTTTCCATAAATAATTATGCAACAGCCAATTCTCAAGAATATTCAAGAATATCAGTATGAAAAAATTAGGTTTCTGAAAAGATAATATTTTCGGAACAGCCACTTCTAAAATCAATCGACTGTCAGCATCACTTATACCAGTGGTGGCCAAACTACGGCCCGCGGGCCAACTCCGGCCCGCCATCATTTAATATCTGGCCCGCGAAAGTCTTCTATATTACAGCACTTATTTGTATAACTGTAATATTTTGCATTTACGTAAAAAAAAATTTAGAATGCATTTTTTTATGGCCCGCGATAAAAAAAAGTTGTTTTTTATGGCCCGAGGAAAAAAAAGTTTGGCCACCACTGACTTATACTATGAGTAAAATGTCATGGTAAATATAACCAAATGTATAAGTCCGTATCAAAGTTTGTTTTATTTGTTTGGCATAGATTACATTTCAAATTAGCAATACGCTTATGTATTTATTGTTTTTTCGAAAACATTTTTGACCCGTTTCTCTTGTTCTTTGGAAAATTTCGAACAATATTAACCCTGCAATGCGCACAATATTCTGCATTTTTACGTATTTCGATAAGTTTTTTTTATTTTTTTTTTTTTCAATAATTTCAATCAGAATAACAAATTAATTCGACCGACGTCGTTTGTATCCAGCTGATTTATTTTATTACTGTACACCCGCATTACTACTAACATTTGCTACTCAATCGAAAACATAAGACGAGGAAATGTGCGTAGGTTTATCGTTCAAATTTATGGTTCAATCGAAACGTGTACAAAAAAGCGAACGATAAGACCGACAACAGGCGGATCGAATATGAATTACGTTTGCATGCAAATCCTTTGACGGTTGAAGAAAAATATTAATTATTATTATAATATACGTACACGCGCATGTCGGTTTGAAGGCCGTCGCTGTGACTAGTTTATTATTCAAATCCCAGTCGTACGTAACAACCCATATGATATACATGTGTGCGATCCTCTATACAACACGTTCGTACAACAGGTTTGCATCGAAAAAAAAATTCTCGATTCGTCGATTTAAACGATGAAACAAAATAAAAATTACTATGGAACGGAAATCGTCGATCGTTATCAACGTGCGCTGCACACGTCAACGCGTACGCTTAAAGTCAGATCTGATTTTACGCAACTGTACGCGGAAGATATTTTTTCGCATTTAAAAATTAAAATTTCGAAATACATTCTTCCGCCTCGTTGTTGTCGCGAATTTTTAACAATAATCTCTCCGGTAGACTTCTCGAAACGCGAGCACGCGAACCACAGAGAGCTGTAACGAGTGTTAGTTGCAGTCGACTTGAGTGGTGTGTGCGACTATAGTGGAATTATGTAACCCTATTATCATTAGAGCGCGGATTTATACGCATTTATATATATTTTTCTGTTTGGTCGTATCATATGCTAAG